CTTCAATACCCCAGTGTCTCCATTAGATCGGTCAACAGGGCAGAGAGTTAACAGAGAGACATCTGAATTAAACAATACCATATATCAAATACACTTAACAGATATCTACCAAGTATTCCACTCAAGCACCAAACGCCATACTTTCTACTCAGCATCCCATGGAACCTTCTCCAAAATCGACCATATACTGGGGCACAAAACAAACCTCAACAAATACAAAAAAGATTCAAAAAATTCCATGCATTCTATCAGACCACAATGTAATAAAGCTTACAACAAACACTCGAAGAAGCCCTAATCACCTAATTGGAACACATAGAGATTAAACAACACACTCCTCAATGATGAATGGGTCAAAAGAGAAATTAAGAAAGAAATGAAAGTCTTCCTGGAACTAAATGAAAAGAACAATACATCACAACAAAACCTCTGGGACATGCTGAAAGCGGTCCTTAGAGGGAAGTATATAGCTCTAAGTGCCTACATAAAAAAATCAAAAAGAACACAAATAAAAGACTTAACGTGGCAACTCAAGACACTTGAAAAGCAACAGCAAACGAAACCCAAACCCAGGAGACAAAAAGAAATAACAAAATTCAGGGTAGAAATTAATGAAATGGAAACAAAGAAAACAATAGAAAGAATGAACAAATCCAATAGCTGGTTCTTTGAAAAGATAAACAAGATTGACAGACCACTAGCCCAGTTAACCAAAAGAAAGAAAGAGCACCTCCAAATCAAAAAAATCAGAGATGAAAGGGGAAACATCACAACAGATACCAGAAAGATACAGAACATTATAAGGGAATACGTTAAAAACCTATATACTGCAAAATTTGAAAACCTAAAAGAAATGGATGCATATCTAAAGGCATGGGAACCACCAAAACTAAACCAAGAAGAGATTAACAGCTTAAACAGACCCATAACACAAAAAGAAATTGAAACAGTAATACAAAACCTCCCGACTAAAAAAAAGCCCAGGTTCAGATAGATTTACAGCAGAATTCTATCAGACTTTTAAAGATCTACCTCCAATACTACTCAACTTATTCAAAAAGATAGAAATGTAGGGAGAACTTCCAAATTCCTTCTATGAAGCCAGCATCACTCTCATACCAAAGCCTGGTAAAGATACAACCAAAAAAGAAAACTATAGACCCATATCCTTAATGAACATAGATGCAAAAATTTTCAACAAGATACTTGCAAACCGCATACAGACACATCAAAAAGATCATCCACCATGATCAAGTAGGCTTTATGCAGAGATGCAGGGATGGTTCAATATACGTAAGTCAATAAACGTCATAAATCATATAAATGGACTCAAAGACAAGAACCACATGGTCATCTCAATAGATGCAGAGAAGGCCTTTGACAAAATTCAACATGCACTTATGTTCAAAGTCCTAGAGAGAATTGGACTGGAGGGAACATACCTCAACATAATTAAAGCCATATATAACAAACCCACAGCCAACATCATTCTAAATGGAGAAAAACTGGAAGCATTCCCATTGAAATCAGGAACCAGACAAGGCTGTCCACTTTCTACACTTTTCATTAACATAGTGCTTGAAACTCTTGCAAGAGCAGTAAGAGGAGGAAATTAAAGGAGTAATAATTGGAAAAGAAGAGATCAAATTATCCCTTTTTGCAGATGATATGATATTATATCTAAGAGATGCCAAAAATTCCACCAGAAAACTCCTAGAAATTATTAACACATTCAGTAAAGTGGCAGGTTACAAAATTAACCTACAAAAGTCTGTAGCCTTTCTATATACCAGTAACAAGCAATCAGAGAAAGAGTACATGGAAACACTCCCCTTGACAATAGCTGAAAAAAATATAAAATATCTTGGAATAAACCTTGCCAAAGACATTAAAGAGCTCTATAATGAAATTTTTAAATTTTTAAAGAAAGAGATTGAGAAAGACATCAGAAGATGGAAGGACCTCCCATGCTCATGGATTGGAATAATTAATATTGTGACCATACAGCAAAAGTCATTTATAGATTCAATGCAATGCCAATCAAAATCCCCCGACATTTGTCACAGAATTGGAAAAAACCATACTAAGATTCATATGGAAGCACAAAAGACCTCTGATAGCCAAAACAACCCTGAGCACTAAGGGCAATGCCAGGGAGGATTACTATACCAGATTTTAAGCTGTATTGCAGAGCTATATTCATAAAAACAACATGGTACGGGCATAAAAATATACACATTGATCAATGGAACAAAATTGAAGACC